GCGGGAACTGCAGTCCACCCGGATACTTGCCTTTATAGCCTCGGGGGTCTCCATGGCAATGGCTGCCCTGAAAGCAGCCTGTGCCGTCAGGGCAGAGACCTTCGGGGCGGAGAAGACCGCCCCTGACCCGCACCCCTCCGTGGGCCACGAAGTTGGGGAGCAGCTCCTCCTCCGCGCCCCCCTGGGTTTGCGGGCGGCGGTTGCGGGGCGGAGGCGGGGACTGCTCGCCGGGGGCCACATGCACCCGACCGGGCCAATCCCCGGGGCGCAGTCTACTCTCCCCGCCCTCCGCCTCCACCTCAGTCGGGGCCCTGGGCTCCTTGGAAACTGGCGGGACCTCAGGCTCATCGGCGAAAACAGCTACTTCCCCCTGTCTGGGGTGAAAAGAAACGGGACTCCTCCAGAGTAGAACTGGACCAGGGGCGAGCCGGGAGGTGGGGTAGGGAAAGCAGATGAGGAGTAATTTGGAGGAGTGGGCACACGGGCTGCGGGAGGGGACTTGGCCTGGCTGGGAACTGCCACTCGAAGTGCCGCGCATCACGCAGTCACACAACTGTGCCTCCCGCACACACTGTTTTGGAGCAGGAAGGGCGTGCGCTATCCAATCTCAGACGTTTCCAACCCTGATTGATATGCGCCCTCGGGCCGCTCCGCGCTGCAGAGCAGATGGGGCACAGATGCAGCTGCCACGGAGACACTAAGCTGGCACCTTAGGACCCTAGGACCGCTGCTGGGCGCTGGTATTCACCCGGCACAGCTCCCAGCTCCTCAGGACAGGTCACTGATCCGGAAAGAGCAAGGGAGGAAAGCAAGAATTCCCCAAAGAGCTGGGCTCTCTCAAGCCCCAAATCACTTCGAGGCCACAGGGCTCTGGCCCTGACCCTAACTGACCCCTGGAGAGAGGTGAGCAGGAGATCCATTTTCCATTAGATACATGAGAAAACCACCACATCTCATCTTAGCCTGCTGGCTGCATGGCCCTGGAGAGGGGTGAGGTGAGTCAGGGCTCCTCAGAGCCACAGAGGTGGAGAAGGGGTGAATAAGGTTAAATGGATATTTGTGAAAAAGTGAACCCTGGCTGTGGAAAATACAGAGGTCAAAGCTGGCTTCTCTAAACCAGGCGGAGCCCAGGGCACAAGTGCAGCTTGTCACCAGGGTTGAGGACATCTGCTAAAAACGGAACCAGGAGGGGAAGAAAGATGGAGCAGTGGGGAAGGAAGGGCTCTAGGATCTTCTGAAGGTAGGACAGAGTTGGTCCTTTAAAGATGAGTGAGGTCAGCTAGTAAGAAGTGAGGAAGGCATTCCAGGTGGGACTTGAGGAGGTAAAACCACACAAATAGGAAAGTCGCCTTCGGGGGACAGTGTGGAGGGCTGCTTAGCTGTTCCATCCCATAAGAGACAGGAAATTCAGAGAATGACTGTCCTCAGCTTGGGCAGAACCAAAACAACATGGTTCACTAGACCCCCTGATTGCTGCTCCACACCCAGGCTCCAGGGATGTCCATCTTTGAGGGATAGGGGGAGTAATAGAGAGGCTCCCACTGCGCTCTGTGACATTGGGGCATATGTGAAGCCCCTTTTTGTTTTGGGGTTTGTTGTTGTTGTTACTGGATATTGAACTCGGCCCTTGTGCTTGAGAGGCAGGCAGCAGTATCACTGAGCTAAATCCCCCGCCCATGAAGCCCCTTTTTGATCTGCGGTTTTTTCCTTCATGGTGTCTAGAAAGGGCGTAGTATGTAAAGTCCCAGCCTAGAGGTCCATGCTGGCAGTGTGGCCCCAGGCCTGCACATTCTTATCCACAAGAGGAAGTGGCTAACACCAGCCTGGCCTATTCCTCTGGCAAAATCAAGGAAAGCACAGCATGGTTATTTAGAGTGCCTCCCTCAAAGCTCCCTCCCACTACTCCAGGCCTGGGGCAAGACTCTTTCTAAACCAGCAAGGGCAAGAATGTTCTTTTTCCTTTACTCAGCCGAAGAAACGCTTTTCCCTTTAGGATTCAGTTTGTGTTTGTGTGTGTGTGTGTGTGTGTGTGTGTGTGTGTGTGTGTGTGTGTGTGTGTGTGTGTGTGTGTGTGTGTGTGTGTGTGTGTGACACTGGGGATTTAACCCCAGGGCCTTGCACCTGCTAGGCAAGCACTCTACCACTGAGCTACATCCACAGACCTTTTTTTAAATTTTTATTTTAAGATAGTGTCTCATTATGGTCTTCCTGCCTCAGCTTCCTGAGTAGCTGGGATTACAGATGTGCACCACCACACCCAGCTTCCATTTTGCTTTTTTACTTCCCCTCTTTCTCCTTTCAAGGTTGGGGTGGGGGTACTCCTAGAGTCTGTGTGGCAGGCCAGGCTGTGCACCCTCCAGGTGGAAGAGAGAAGCACCAAGAACCCAGAGTGGGGGCCTCCTTGGTCCTAAGCAGCCCCTCTCCTCTGAGCCTCCTTGAGCCAACCAGCTTTACTTATGACCCTTTTCCCTGTGATGATGGAGACAGTTTCAGATAGGCTTTGCTTCTGTTTGTCCCAGCTGGCATGGCCAACCCAGTCAGGCCTACAGCCGGTGGGGTGAGTACTGGGGCCAGGTCTCAGCCCTGGAGCCTTTGCTCTGACTCCCTCCCCTGACGGTTCACTGTGTTCTGAACAAAAAAGAAATAGCAAAGCTGAAAAAAGCTGAGACTTCATTGCAGAGCACAGAGGCACCAACAGTCGGAATTAGAAGCTGTCGCTTCAGAGCTGAAGGCTGACAGGAGAAGGAGCCGAGGCAGGCAGGGGGCAGGCAGGCACTCCATACTCCTCCTCCCCTCCCACCTGCCCAGCCTCTCCCCTGCAGGCCCCAGGCTGGCAAAAGGGCTTCCTGCCAGAGGCGCTTCAGTCTGCAAGTCTGTCACTCTGTCTGCACCTGTCCCCCCTCCCAGGCCCCCTTCTTTCCTTCTCAAGTGTCATCAGCCCCCTCACCCTGTCACGTTGCACCAACTCGGCAGAGTTGGGCCTGATGGCACGTGTCTGGGAGATCCAGAAAGCTACTAGGGGGTGCAGGAGGCGGGGTGAGTCAGCGGGGGCGGGGCTGGCCCTGAGTCAGCAAGGATCAGTAGAGGAGTAGGGACCCTTCTCTATGGGAAAAGGTGAAAAGGAAGTCCAGCCCCACCCCATGGGTGCACAGCAGGGATGGAAACCAGGTGCCTTTTTCCAGGTCCCAGAACCTGAGGGAGAGCATCAGTTCTTCCTCTGTACATCCCGTGACCAGAGATCAATTCACCTTCTGGGCTGAGATGACATTTACTCAGGGCACCTTGCCCTTTTCTCAGAGAACAGAAAGCAGGTAGGTGAGTACCCAGGTTGGGCTAATGGAATTTTGTGCACAGTCCCCACCCTCATATCTGGGCTCCTAGCACCAGATTCTGGAGCACAGACTCTACCCAGCCTGGCAGAGATGAGGGGAAGGCAGTCATCAGCAATAGCTGAGGCTGCTGCCCACTGTTGGCTCCAGCTCTGGCCTTTGCCCACGTTCCTGTCTCCATGAGTTGGACATGGACCATCATCCTTAACAGGCTGTACCCCAGGGCCTGGGGAGGGGAGGGAGCAATGGGACATCTGATTGCCTGATGAGGCAGGGTGCTGCTCTGGGGTATAGGTGTCCTATCGAGGCAGTGCTCAGTATGTGCAGAGGGTGGAGACAGGCTAATCCATGACAGGCCTTCGTCAGTGAATAAGCAGCCCTCTAGCCTCACCCTGTAGCCAGGGACTGGTAAAACCCTAGAGGTCTCTATTTTCCGAAAGCACAGGTGCTCACAAATAATAGCATCTGCTGTAAGCACCTGATAGGAAAACAACTCTTCCCAGAATTGCCCCACCCCACCTCTCCCAAGCCAAGCACAGCCCTTATGGGATTTGGGACTGTGGTATGGGTGCAGGAAATGGTACCGCAAGCAGTAGGTTGGCACCAGCTCTTTTGCTCCAGCCCTGAGGGCAGAAACAAGAAAGGGCCACATCTGTGTGGGGGTGGAGAAGAGGGAGTGACATTTTTCAGTGGCTATGGCATCAGGGCCAGCAAAAGAGGAAGTGACTCCTCTTTGAGCCCAGAGGCAGAACCATTTTCCTGGACTCTAAAAGGGACCTCAGTCCTGGTTTGGCCCCACTGTCTCCCCATCCAGCTTCATTCTGGGGTCTCTCCTCCAACATCCCCATTTCCTAGCTGTAGAACGGAGGCCAGGCTTAGGCAGGATACTGGGTCAGGCTTCTTCAGTTGGAATAGAAAGGAGAAAAAATAAATAAATCTCATAAATGCAAAAGACAAAATGATGCTGGCTTTGTCAGGAAGTCTGACTAGTGGGGTACATGCTAGGAAGTACCCATGCCAGGCCTAGGAAAAGGGTTGTGCCAGTTCAGAGCGGAGAGTCCCAAGAGGCCAGCCTCCTCCCTTCCCTACAGTCCTACACCCCAGGGCTCAGGGCCAGTCAGCTGAGGAGCTCTCCCATGTCAGCTTTCATCCTGCTCAGACAGAGCAGAAGGCAGGGACCTCAGCTGGGGACCCTGGGGGCAGCTGTCCTAGCTCAGAGGCAGTGCCAGGCTCTGCCTAAGGAGCTGACAATGCTGCCTGCTCAGGACAGGCTTGAGATATGGCACGGAAGCCTGCTCAGGTGCCAGATTGGGGCAGGAGGGCCTGAGGCTTGGTCTTACTTGAACCATCAGGGCAAAGGTAGAGAGGTTCCAGGAGTCGGTCCACCCTCCAGCGAGGCAGCTGAGCTCCAAGAGGGGCATGGTTAGTTGCACACTAGGAAAGGTAGAGCAGGGCCAAGACTCCCATTCCTGTTCCCAGTCCATATTCTTTTGCCGTCAACAAATATATGCTTATCCAGAGGGTGGGAGAACAATGGGCATCAAGAAGTCAGCATGGAGAAGGATATCAGCCTGCTGTATCTGATTCCTGCCCCGCCTCTAGGCAGGCTGTTAAGGAGAGGGCTAAAGGGTCAAAGGAGTCCCAGCTTCCAGCCACCTCAGATGTTGGAGTCCTTTCCTCCTGGTGGATAGAGCCGTGTCCTAGAGAAGGGTCTGAGTGTCCTCATCATGTGTCCCCGTGGGATTGGGGCATCAGAGCCGGCTCTCCTCTGTGTCTTCCTTGTCTGTGAGTAGGTCCTGCTCAGAGGGCTCCCTGGAGGCCCCGCTGGCCCCCTCAGCTTTGTCCTCAGCCTCGGAGGGGAAGCAGGCCCTCACTGACTCCTTCACCTTGGCCTCCAGGCCCTTCATCCTGGCCTCGTACTCTGTCAGAGCCTCCTGTTGGAACTGGGGGGACACCAAGGAGCACACCTAGCTCAGTAAGGGTCCCCTGCCCACCCTCCCTCTCTTCCCTGGACAGTGGAAAAAGAAGATGGCCTGTCTGTGCAGAGCACCCAGGAGACTAGAGTGGGAGCTAGGGGGAGTGGAGCCCACTAGGGCATCTCTGGGGACAAGCAGAGATCTGAAGAGCTGCCTCATCTGAAAGGCCCTTGGGTCCCCACAGCAACCAGCCTGTGACCCACTGGAAGCAATGATTTCCTGACTGGCAACTTTCTCCCACCCTAGCACCACCGGGGCCGGGTCAGCTGTCCTGTCACCTGCTTTTCCATCTCCCGGATCTGCTCCAGGCAGGCTGCCTGCTTCTCTTCCAGTTTCTCCTGGTGCCGCTCCAGGGTGTCTGTCATCTGGGTGGACGTGGGGGGGGTATCAAGGTGTGGTAGACCAAGTTGCCGGGGCACAAGGTGGCATGTCCCACACTGTGCCACTGGAGTTGGAATCCAGCTGTAGCCTAGGCAACCAGCTGGAAGACTTGGGACCAAGACTTCAACCTCTGAGCAATGTTTTCAATTTGTAAGATGAGTTGTTACCACCTGGCTTATGGGATTGTGAAGGAGATATGGGAAGTTGGCGTGAAATACATGGAGTGAGGTTAGGACGAAGTAGATGGCAGCTGTGTCACTGTGGTCACTAATCCCAGGGGAGCATTAGGCCAGTCCTTAGTGGGGCTTGCCTTCCTCTTTTGACTCCTTGGCCCCTTGAGAATATCCTCAGAGAATCTCCCTTCCCATCCTCCCTTAGCCAGCTGGCCCGCCTGACCTCCACCCAGGACACCAAGGTGACCCCCCGCATACCCTGGGCTCCACAGACAGCTCTGCACCCTGCCTGTCACCAGAACAAAGGAAGGGCTAGGCCGACCCTCCCACCTGTGTGTTTTGGAAAGCCGTAGCCTTTACACACCTGCTTGATGGCCTGTACCACTTCCTGGATGTGGGAGTTGTTAATCTCTCTCTTCAACCTATCAGCATAATCAGAGTTGTAGAAAGGGCAGGAGGCCCCTGGGAGGGAATGGGATGAAGTCTCCTCCGGGTATACACAGATGGGAACTCTGTCATAGCCCAGGAACTCAAGTTCAGCATTGGTTACCAAGGAGGATGGAGATGGCCAAGGGGAGTCCTGAGACCCTTTGGGGGGACAGCTCCCTCACTAAACCACACTGTTCTTCAGGGTGTCCATGGGCGCACAGGTAGGGGGCAGTGGGGAGGCTGCTGGCCCTTGGCTTCTCTCTCTTGCTCTGTGCTTATCTTCCCTCCATTGCTCCTTTCCCTTTAAGACTCCTGGCTTCTGGGTTTTGCCTCAGGAGGATGCTCTCTGATCAGGGGTGACAGAGACAGGATCAGTTGTTCCAGGGCCAAGGGAGTGGCATCTCTGGGAAGTGAGTCAGGAGCCACTTGTAGGGAGGCCCTTTTCCCTCTGGGCCTGCTGAGCACAGGGGCCATCCCACCAGGGCTCACCTCTCCTGAGCCATCTTGTCTGTGGTGGTTTTGGTCATGGCCTGGATCCGCTCCTGCCTCCTGCTCTCCAGCTTTTTCTTCAGCTCTTTGGTGTCACTGCAGAAGGACAGGTGTGAGCTAGCTGTCCTGAGGGACCGAGCCCTTGATGAGGAGCAGGGAAACGAGCGAAGAAGAACCAGCCTTACATCTCTGAGGTCTCCTTCAGAGCCTTCAGCTCTGAGGCCTGTTTCTCTCTAGCCAGCTCCATCATCTTGGCGATTTGCTACATGAGAGGAGGAGAAAGGGTTCAGTGAGAAGCCCTCGGTTGTGCAGAGGGCATGGGGCTGGTTAGGTTGTCCTGTCTCTTCTGGGCACCTCGGCCACGTGTTGTTCCTTGCACTTCAGGATGCTCCGGTACTGCTCCTCGCCCTGCTGCTGCAGCTCCTGCTCCAGCCTATCCTTGAGCTCCTGTACTCGTGGGTCCATGCCTTCAAGGCCCTTATCCGGCGTGGCCCCTGCAATGTCCTCCACAGGCAGGGTCCTGCAGCGGCCACATGGGGACAGGCCCTGAGCCTGAGGTTGCTATGCTTGGGGGGCAGGCTGCCCCTGTGGCCCTTACCTCTTCTTTCGGGAGCCCTTCCCCGGGCGGAGCTTACTGCCCGGTGTCCCCAGCTCTGCCAGCTGGGCTGTGCCTCGCCGCAGCAGCTCCTCTTGACGCCGCTCCCCTCGCCGCTCCAGCTCCCGCAGCTCCTTCTCCTGCCGCCGCTGCAGCTTCACAATGCCTTTCAGCTCACGCAGCTCCTCCATGCTGGTGGTCTTTGGCTCTGCAGAGGCCAGGCTGAGACATGCTGCTGCCCAGTCCAAGCCCCTTTCCTGCCACCCCACCCCAACCATGGGCCCTCCCTGGCTTCGTGTCTGAGATCACTAGGCTGGTATTACCTGAAGCTTCTTTCATGGCTTCCTCCCTGGCCTTGGCCCCTGCTACTGCAGGAGGACAGGACGGGCTGGCGGGTGCTCTGGGGCCCATGACTCAGTTGGTTTCCCCACTCCCTGAGGGCCTCAATATAGGGCCCCTGCAGCGCACTTTCCCAGCCATAAGACTTCAGACACAGCCCTTCCTCCCTCAGGTGGAAATCTTCATCCTTTGGGCCCAAGGATGCGGTGGCAGAGGTGGAGGTCCCTCCCCCAGGTAGGCAGACCCCAAAGCGCCTACCTTCAGACCCACTGTTCGAAGGCACTGGTGCCCCATTGACCTGGCAGGCAACTGGACCCCCAAGTGAGAAGGGCTTCTGTTCAAGGAGAGAAAACTAGAAAGTGGCTCTAACATCCTCTTTCCCTGAACTGGGGCAGAACCCCATCCTCCCACACAGAGGGAAAGCTCCCAGGGGTGCCCAGCAGCAGTATGGGCAGCACAGACCTCAGGCAGACCTCCCATAGCCTCCTTGAGCTTCACAGATTTCTTGTCATGAGCACTGAAGTACTTGATGGGGTTGGCGAGGGCCACGGTGAGATCTGGAGCACAGGGCATTAGCAGCCTGGTAGGTGTGGAGATGGACCGGCAAGGCCTCTCCTTGCCTGCCCTGGGACATGGGGGCAAAGGGGACTGACAGCCTGGGCTTCTAGCGTATCACAGGCCCTACCTGCCCAGGTGTCAGGCACATAGTCCTTCATCTCCAGAAAGACAAAGAGCGCAGGCATGGTGAGGGCCATGTTGCTCTCACTGTGCAGGCACAGATGGTGGTATCCTGTTGAACATGAGAGTGTGGATGCTGGGCCAGACCCCATTCCTACCCAGCACTACACACCAACCACCCACATTGTCCTCGGCTCTAGAGTCCAAGAGGACAGGGTCTGAGTCTGGTATGATACCTCCTGGCTATGTGATCTTGGGAAATTACTTTAACTCATTTTTGTTTTGGATTTTTGTTTTGTTTTCTTTTGGTACCGGGATCGAACTCAGAACCTTGCTCTTGCAAGGCAGGTGTGGCGCCACTGAGCTAAATCTCCCGGCCCTGTTTTAGATTTTTGAGACAGGGTCTAACTATGTAGTTCAGGATGGCCTTAAACTCACTATGGAGTCCAGGCTGGTCTCAAACTCATGGTGAGCCTCCTGCCTCAGCCTCCCAAGTCCTAGGATTACAGGCGTGTACCACACCATGTCTGGCACTTACTTTAGCTCTTGAAACTCCTCACCTATGAAATGGGAATAGTGTATACCTCCCGTGGTTTTTGTAGGGATTAAGTGAGAAGGTGTTGATGAGTCCTTCACACATAGGTATCAGCTGCCTGGGAAAGGAAGCCGGTGCTCCAGGAAATCATGGGCACCCTGATGAGTGGGCAGAATTGCCACCTCTGTCAGGTTCCTGGAGAGGTACTGTATCCCTGCCTCCACCTTAAGGCCAAGAACACAGGAGGAGATGGGGGTCCTGCCTGAGACTCCCATGCTCTAGACTGGCTCCTCTATGCTGGTCTTGGTCACAGAACCCCTGGGTGCACTGAAGAAGGATCCCCTTCCTTACCAGAATTTAGGGCATTGATGGGGATGATGCGGTGTCCCAGAAATTTGTTGCCTTCTTCCATCACAGCCACCCTGAGGGAGGCCAGCTCAGGCACCAAGATCTGGGGAGAGTTTAGGACAATATGGTCTGGTGAGGGGAGAAGGGCTCCAAGCAGCCTCTTCCCTGGCTCCAGAAGTCAGTGTCAGGGTGAGAATTTGGCACATGTTCCTAGATTCAGCGAAGTCAGGCAGAGGGCACACATATGGACATACGTACAGGATGCCCTCATGGCTCAGCTACAGCTGGTCTCACGGCGAGAAGGGCTGCCTATGCTGACAACCTCTGGCCACTCTGTTAAACAGGGTCCAGTGGGGTGCGGGACCTCTGGATCCCACGGGACCCTGAGCCCTGAACCAGGAGTTCGCATTTCTGCCTCTAATCCGGATACTCGCACATGCTCACACAGACACAGGTAGTGCCCACCCAGCAAATGTCTGGCTAGCTGAGCCTGGGACTCTGGAAACTGAGGGAGATGAGGTGAGGTGTGGGGAGAGGAGGAAAAAGATGACAGAGCCCTCTTTGTTTCCTGTCCCCTGTAAACAGACCCTGCCCCTCCCTGCCCTCGCCCCACACCTTCTCAAAGACAAAGGGCTCCTCCTTCCAGACGGGGTTGATGGAGTTGGTACTGGGTGACAGCTTGGTTCGATAGCGCCTCTTGGGGTCCCCTGGGAGGCCAAACAGCTCCACCTCCACATAGGTTCGCACACTGCGCTCCGACAGGAACTGCCCAGAGATCACCTGGGGGCGGGGACCAGGGAGCCCAGCATCAGACCCCACCCAGGCTCTTCTCCAGGTACCTATATAGACCCTTAGGTGAAGCATCCATTGTTGAGTACTGTGAAAAGCCCCACTCAGCTCTGGCTGCCATGTGGAGGCTATGTGGCTCAAGGGCTACAGCCCAGCTCTGAGGACCAGAGGGCTGCCCCACTTCCCTCCCCAGCCAAGAAGGGAGCAGTGCCTCTCCCTGGGCCTGGGCTTCTGCAGCCCCACTCTGCCCACTCCCTCTCCCCTCCCCCACCCCAGCTTCAGCCCTTCCCCTCGGTTTCCATGGGGACCAAGAAGCAGCCTCCAGTGCTGAGGAGGAGGCAGTTTCCAAGGCAACTGGTGACTGCAGGAGAGCTGCCGGCTGGAGCAGAAGTTGTGGGGCTAGCAGGGGAGGGGGTTGAGGTAGACTGGTCCTGGGCCCTTCTCCTCAAGACCCCAGACCTTCCCCACCCCAACACTTGTCCTCCTCAAGCCTTGCCGTAATGGAAAGGGTGGTGGCCACCACCACATCGATGCGGTCCACGGAGAAGGGATTGAACTGCTTGTCTGGCCGGCGCATGAACTCATGCTTGAGGAGGTAGCCACTCTGCCCGTTGAACTCAAACAGTGCCATGTTCTGCTGCATGGGCAGGTCTAGGGGTGGGGGCAAGGGGACACAGTGAGGGAGGCCTAGGCTGGGTCTGTCCCCAGCCTCTACTTCCTACCCATCCCAGCCTTCCTCGTCCCGGGCATGGAGGAGTGGTGGCAAGGGTTTCTCACGTCCCAGCCTAGTCTTCACCTCTCTCAGGAAAGGTCAGCAAGGAGTCCTGACTTGAGCAGTCTGCCAGCTCACTGTGGGATTCCCACAGACACACCCTAGCAGAGCAACCAGGCCCCCCGCCAGCCTCTCAGCTCTGCACCTTGATGCTCACGCATGAGCCACTGTGGAAGCCTGAGCTAATGCCCTCATCCCTCCCCAGATGCTCCAGAGCCAAAACAAACACTAGGACACCCGGTCTGTTCTCAGGACCCCAGGGAGGGGTGGTGGCAGGATGGGCAGGACCCAGGGGAGGGATCTCAGGGCCTGGGAGTGCCCTCACCCATCGTCTGGAAGTTGAGGGCAACCATCTGGCATCCAGCGTTCCAGAACATCTGGGGCATGTAGTTGGAGGAGTCCATGCGAGTGCCCTTGGGGTAAATGCGGCTCATCTGGCGCTTGTTGTAGCTGTCACTAAGTATAGGAGCCCGGCCAGGGCCATCTTCACCGGGAGGACCCAAAAGCCTACCCAGGGGCCCTGTTCCCAGACCTTCCCCCAGCGCCCAACCCAAGCAGGGACCTGGCTATCAAAGCTTCAAGGATACTCCACAAACTGCACCGAGGCCTTGGAGAGAAGGTCACAAGCCTTGAGCTCTGTGAAGGAGGAGATGACGTAACTTCGGTTCTTCTCTGTGCAGGGGACAAGGGGTCTCAGTCAGGCCACCTCTCCCTCAGCCCTGCCCTCCCCTTTGGGGCAGCTCTGTCCTGTACAGAGGCGCCTCCAACACTGACACCAACCTCTGGAGGGAGTGTGTGGGAACAGGGGACATGCTAGGGACAGGATGTGGGCTGTGGTCTGGGGAGGGAGAGCTGCCTGCCGCTGTGGGCACACACACACTGTGCCCATGCAGTGAGCACATGCTGGGGTGCGCCCGGGGCACCGGGTGTGTAAGCGATGGCTGAGTGTGAATGCCAGGTGTGAGTGCCGGGAGGGAGAGTTGTACACATCGTAGGTATGCCTCGGCAGGGTGCAAGCTGTGGGCTTCTGTCTCAGAGGCACAGGTGAGCCCAGGAGCATTCATAAAGAGCTGTTTTATTGGGGGCTGTGTACAGAGGGCAGAGGAACACACTACATGCTGATGTCACTGTGTCCTGATATGAAGGAAAACGGGGCGTATGAATGGGGAAGGGCTCACACCGACCCTACATGCATGCAGTTCAGTCCCCAAAGCCACAGAACCTATAGGAGACCGCAGGGCCCCAGGCGGGCCAGGCTAAGGTGGTCTGTCATCAACCTGCCTGTCACCGACCCACTCCAGAGTGTTCCGCTTGTGGCCCAGTTCCTCAGCAGTGCTGGGAAACTGGGAGCCACTGCCACTTAAACGGTCTTTTGCCTGACTCCTCAGCTGAGTACTTACAGGGCCTATAGGCCAAGGGAGGGGAGACTGCCCTTCCTCTTACTCTACCCATCAGCCTGCTCTGTGGTGAGGGTTCCTGCTCCCGAACCCTCCCTCTGCTCCCCACCTCACGCTAAAGTACATACGGGCAGAGAGCTCAAAGGAGATGAACTTGGTGGGCTGGATGTAATTGACTAGGCTGGACATCTCTTCGTAAGCTGTCACCTCCAGGCCCGCTGTGCCCTAGGGAAGAGAGGGGAGGTTGCAGGGACACAGTGCAGAGCCCAGAAGGAGGACTCAGCTTCAACGCCCCCCCCCCGCCCAAGTACCTCATCCGACTGCATCTTCTTCATCTCTTCTTCATCTAGGTTTCCCAACTCCTCATCCTCTTCCTCTTCTACCTCCTCCAGCTCAGCCCCTTCCTCAGCGGCCCACACTGCCATATACAGCTGTCAACAGGCTCCCGAAGGCTTCTTCCGGCCCCTCCCCATCCAGATGTCTCCCAGCTCCACACACTCCTCCCGGAACTTACCTATGTCCTCCCCAGTGAGGGCACTGGGCAGGCAGCTGCCCTCAGTGTCTCCACCAGGCTCCTTGCTGGGGGCTGCTGGGCCAGAAAACTGGTTCTTTTTGTTCTTGATGAGGATCTTGCCGCGAAGGTCCTCAGGGCTGGGCAGAGGGAGGCCTGGTTTCAGCTGCGGAGAGAGGAGTGGGTGGATACCATCTCCTCACCTGCAGGGTGTGCCCTGAGCTCCCTGGGTCCAGTGCCACACAGCAGAGCCTACTCACTGGGAACCTTTCCAGGGGCTCCGTGAGCAGGGTATCCCCAAACATCACCCGGCAGTACTCAGCCATCTTAGCCTGCTGGCGGGGTCTGTGGGGAGCAAAGTGAGAGTGGGGTTCCGCAGCTCAGCCTCAGCCCTCTTGCCCATTCTTTTGTGTGCTGATGACCAGATCGGGGACCCAGGAAGTGAGAGAGGCAGGAACCCAGGTCCAAGGAGCTGTACTGAGACCAGGGAGAGACTTGGATGGATAGATGGCTGGAGGCTGGGGACAGCTCAGGAGGGTTGCAGGTAGGAGACTGGGGACCTCTTAAAGAATTAGGCCGTGTGGGCCTGGATACACACGAGTCCACATGGTTTTCAAATGACAGGATGACGGGATAGGGGGACGTCTTAAAGGCACTTTCTGCAATTGCTTCAATTGCTTCCTGGAAAAGAAGGGACTCAGTAGAAAGATAAGCATTCGTCCTGTCCCTCCCACAGGTGCCTTTCCCCACACCCCAGTTTCAATGCATACATGGGTGGTCCTGATTGACAACCCTACTCCCCTCTACTCCCCACACTGGTCTGAGGCATTCCAGACATCCCTCTCCTGGAGCTTCGTGGCCCCCAAATCAAAACAATTTTGGCCCAGGGTTTTCCCTACTGCCCTTGCCACCAGCTGCCACCCACTCATCCCATCCCACAAGGCTCACTTTGAACAAGATGTCTGTGGTCATGGTGAAGCCGTGAGTGATAATGGGCTCCTCCTCAGGAGGCTTCCCCTTCCAGCAATCCAGCTCCACGCAGCGGCAGCCAGACAGCAGCACCTGGCGGTACATCTCAGCCGAGGACAGGCCCGAGAACTGGCCAGCTGAGCCAGGACAAAGAAGGAAGAGGGACAGCACTCAAAGGCTGGCCGGCCCCTCACCCCACCCCAAGCACAATCTGTCTGTTTCAGGTTTAGCGACATTGGGCAGCACCCATGGGATCCGGGGACCAGGAGTACCCCATGTCCAGAAAGGTCAGCCATGAGGCAGCCAGGGCCCACCTGTCAGGTAGGTGTTATGGGAGGAGTTGATAAAGTAGTGATTGAGCGGCTGTGTCATGTCGTGGTGGAGCAGCAGCTTGTCTTGGGCCAGCAGACTGTTCTCGGGGCCGCAGAGAAACCAGACCATGCCCTCAGGTGACAGCTGGCCTGAGGCACAGGGGATGGCTGTCAGGGCTGCAGCCCAGCTGCCAGGATGGAACAGGACTGGGGCCCTGAGGCTTCCCTTAGTCCTCACCCCTCTGCACGTTGATGACGCTGGGCTCATACTTGTCAATAAGGCCCTGCACCTGGTCGGGCCGTGCCGGTGGGAACAGCAAGGAGTTGAGTCGTGAGTCTCGCTGCTTCTGGTTGATGAATTTGGCCAAGTGCTCCTTGGTCATGTAGGGTTTGGCCTTAGCATGGCTGTGGGCCAGAGAGAGGAGCATAGATCCATGTCTCTTGACCTAGAGGCTTAGACAATCCTTTTCTCCAGATTCCCAGAAGGGCAGGTAAGAGGAGGGGATTGCTAACCAACACCCCTTCCCCACTCCCAGCCCTGCCCAAGAAGCTCACTAGGAAGTGAAGATCTCATCTATTTCTGGCCGAGGACAGAGGCTCATGAGGAAGCTCTTGAAGACAGATTCTGGGAGGTCCTCGGGATTGATAGCATCATTCTGGGGGAACAGTCACCTTGTCACCTGCTCAGAACTAAGACACACAACCTAGGCCCAGCTCTGGATGATGGGACTTGCTTGAGGCAGGCAGGCAGAAGACACCCTGGACAGCCCCTTCTCAGAGCCCTGACTGCTGACTGAGAATGTGCTGAGCTGGTTTGCTCTGATGGTGGGGAGTCCCTTGTCAAGAACAGGACTGGAACTAAGAAGGATGAGGATGAGGAAGACGAAGAGGACGAGATGTCAGAATTTAGTGGTGCAGCTTGCCAGGCAATGGGCTACCTTGTTTCTTTTTTAGGAAAAGACATGTTTGACTATGAATATATATGCACCTAACAACAGAGTCCTGAAGTATAAAAAGCAAAAAGTGACAATCCAACAGTAATAATTGGGGGTCAGAGTGTGGCTCTCAGGACAGTGCTACCTGAGTTTAATCACCAGTACTAAAATAATAGCCATAATAATAAGAGGAAACACACAAAGAACAAGGGACAAAGAAAAGGAAAAAAAAAGAAATGAAATAAAAATTGAACTTTATCAAAATTTAAAATTTGTTTGCTGCTAAGGACACCATCAAGAAGGGGTGGGGAGAAAGAGAAAAAACAACCCATAGAATGGGGTAAAATTTTTACAAATCAGGTATGTCGACAGTAAAACACAACCCCATCACAAGATAGAACAAGATTTTGAATAGTTATTTCCCCAAAGAAGATGTACAAGTTATCAATAAGCACACGAAGAGATGCTCGATATCAACAGTCATTAGGGAAAGGCAAATCAAAACCCCCAGCGAGAGCAGGAGTGATGGCGCACAGCTCTGGTCCTAGCCACTCACAGGAGCCCACAGGTTCAAGGTCAGCCGGCAGCAGTCTCCTAAACATAGCAGTGGTCAAGAAAAACAAAACAAACGAAAAAAACCTCACCCAAGATACTACTCCACTCCCACTAAGATGGTTTAAAAGATAGTAACAGCGTGGGTGGGCTGTGGAAAAATTAGAAACCTCATACAATGCTGGTGGGATTGTAAAATAGTGTAGTCGTCTTAGATAACCGTCTGGCAGCTCTTTACAATGTTAAAGAATAATATGACCCAACAGTTTCACTGGTATGTATACATCCAAGAGAACCGAAAACATAGCCACACAAAATAATGCATGCAAGTGTTGATAGCAGTGTTATTTATGATAGGCAAAAAGGCAAAATCCACTTATCCATCAACTGATAATAAGGAGCCAAAATGTTATACCCACACAATGGAATATGGTTCTACAAAAGAAAGGAGTAAAGGGCTGATACGTACTCCACCACGGATGAATCTGGAAAACATCACGCTAAGTGAAAAAAAGTCTAACGTGAAACGCCGCATGCATTATGGGTTCATTTACATGAAATGTCCAGCATAGGCAAGTTATAGAAATAGAAACAGGAAGTCAATTAGTGGTATCCAGGGTTGGTGCTGTACCTGTGGGGGAAACATTCCTCCTGGAATTAATACAAACAGGTAACCAGTGGGGTCTCACTTTTATTCATTTATAAGGATCTAAATTCTTGCCCGGAGAACATGTTCTCTGGGGTGCAGGCCGTGACTTATATAAGCATACTGGCCCAGGGGACGCCAGCCTGAGATCTGCTCCTCTGGCCAAGCTCAGACCCTGGCTCAGGGCCCTATCCACCCCAGAGAGATCCTTTCTGGTAATTCACATAAGGTACCTCATGGGGTGACCCTGCTGGCACCTTGTAATTAAAAATTAATTGCTTAATTAAAAAGAAACAGGAAACTGCTCCTCTGTGCTGAGCTGAAGTCTGTGTCCCAGCAGCTTCCACTATAGTTCTGTTTTTCTCCCCCATACCCTGTGGAACTCATCCCTTTCCACAGCCATCAGTTCCTTGCTGACCTCTCACTCTCATTCCCAAGGCTCAAATGGGAATGTGAGCTATTTCTGTGGCTGGCTCTGAATGGTCTACAAACTGCTGCCCTCCCCCACACTGCCACCTGCTCTGAACCATTGCCCCGGTCCACCTCTCTACCAGGATCAGGAACCAGTGGCTACCTGGGCTGTGGACGGGACCAATGGCATTCCTGCCTTCCCCACCCACCATCAAGCCAGGCCAAGTTGTCCTCTGGTGGGAAGTGAGAACCCCAGGGGTGGGCTGGGCCGGGGAACCACTCACTTTGCCTTTTGGAAGGTGGCAGACAGTGAGAGCACCTTCCACCCGCTTCCGGTCAGCAGGAAACATCTGGAAAAAACTGAAGGAGAAAGGCACCAGGCAGAGAAGAACCATGGGCATGGAGAGAAGGACTGGGAACTTGGGGCAATGTGAGGAGGGAGCTGGAGAGACTCACTTCTTCACAGGAATCTTCCCCTCGGGATTTAGGTGCTTCTTGAGCTTTACCAGGCTGCAGGGGCAGAAAGCAGCCCTGAGTCAGGGCTAGGGGCTGGATTCCCAGAGCACCAGGCTAAGGCCAGGCAGACCAGCACTTACATCTTGTCCAGGAAAGTGCTGCGGGGGGCGTTGGCTGTCAGCGGGTGCTTGGCCAGGGCCAGTACATCCTCAGCCCAGTCCTGCAGGAGCATGAAGCTCAGTGGCCAGGCCTCTGACTATAAGGGTACCTGGACCACCCTTAGGCCCAGACCTGCCTCTCAGAAAGTCCAGGCCATCCCCAGGGCCAAGACACAGCCAGGTGCTCCCCACGCACCTTGCCCACGTTCTCCTTGTAGGAGACAAAGTTGTGGAAGGTGAGGTCCACCATGTCAGGGCCAGACACCACTGTGAGCGCCTTCAGCAGGAAGTGGTTGTCTGGAAAGTCCATGTTGAAGACCTCTCGAAGCTTCTGGCTCTGCAGCATATGTGACATGGTGAGGGTCAGAGGAGTTCTCTCATTGTGCCCAAGGTGGTCCTCCATGCCCCTCAAGCTGTATCCCCCGGGGCAGAATCCCATCCCTGTCCTGGGAACCAGGCCGTAGCACCCACCCCATCCCTGACTCTCACTACAGGGGCAGGATGGACAGGCCCACAGGAAGAGGTGAGCTAAGGCCGTGGGGCCTGGGGAAGCGGGCTGTGTATTTTATTTGCCACTTTTGTTTGCAGATGGATTCTTAGCTCCCAGGCTCAGGGAACCCTGATTCTTACCAATCCTTCCTCCAATTTTCCTACCAGCATTAGGCAAATATAGTCAAACCAGCTGGGGCAGGGGATAAGTGACACCATCCAGATGGTGCAGGATGCTCTGAGGGCAGGAGGTGGTGCCCCCCTCCCACACCCTACTCTCTCAGCTCATTGTGCCCAATTCCAAGTCTCAGAAATCAGGCAAGCTGGGGCAAGCCCAGGACAGCCCCTCCATGGCTCAAGCTGGGACCCCTGCTGACCAGCCCAAACCATGCCCCTTGTTCTAGAGGCCAGGCTTCTCACCCCCTTCAGGAACTCCTTGCCCAGGCAGCTGGTAGCTGCTCTGAACTTAGGCTCTTCTGGACCCACCTACCTTGGGAATCTTGGCAAACTTCCCAAAACGGGTATCCCGGATACTAGTGATGTCCAGAAATTCCATCTCCTGCCAGGATGCAAAAGGTTAGGTCAAAGGGAACAGGGAGCTTCCACACCCCTTCAAATCATGGCCAACTGCTCTAGATGCCCAAACCGCCTAGAGCCACCTGGACCCTACTTTTCCCTTCCCACCAATCAGACTCTCCCATGGAGGGACTTCCCTCTCTTCTTGGTCTATTCCTCTCTGGGAGTTGAGGTCTGAAGTCTCCCCTCCACCATCCAAGAATCTCCCCAGCTTCCTTCCTTTCCTCTTGCCCAGCTGCTGAGGTATTTTCTGAGCTGAGCCTTCAAGTAACCCAGAGCCATTGGCAGAGCACTGCCCTTCAGCCACAGCTCTTTGTGTTTTCTCTCTCCCTCCAAGGGATGCTACAGCTGGAGGATCTGGGTTCCCAAGCTGCCATAGGTTGGAGTGACTACAACCTCCCTCTGGGGCAAAGAGTGCTCCACAGTCCACAGAGTGCCCCAGTGCCACCCTTCCAGGCCACTTTCCACTCCCAGCATCCACATCTCACTCCATTAGGACTTTGGCTGAGCTCCCTGGATAAGCAAGAGCTCAGGGCCATGGTCAGTAGGGGTCACCACCTCACCTTGCTTTGATATGTCCAGTATAAATAGTAGCCCTTGGGGTCCATGCGGAGGATGACTGGGGAGGCTATTGCAGTTTCCTGAAAAGAAAAGGGGTCAGCTAGCTGCTCTGAGACCTCAGGCCAGGCTTCCCTGGCCCTCACCTGGAGGTTCAGAGCTCATCACCTCACCTAGGAGGTGCCTGTTGCAGGAATCTGAAGCCATTTCCCTTTGTTCTCTAGGATAAGAGCTGGACTAGATTGAGGACTGGAAGAAAAATGTTCCCTCTAATCCCAAAAAGAACTGCCCAATGGTCATGGCTCTACCAAAGGATGGAATTTCTCTCCCCTGCTACCTCTTAAGAGAGCTTGACACAGCCAGAACCAGAGCCCAGACTCTTGTACCCATAGCCAAGGGCCTACGCAATCCAGCTGGGACCTGTCCTCCCTCCATGACTGCCCCTAGCCCTTCAGTCCAACTGTCCCAGAGTCACCAAGTCACAGAGTCACCAACTGCCCCACCTCCAAACTGAAGCAACTACACTTTTCTGACCTGAAACATGGGCCAGCCCATGCCTCACTGCTTTGGGAAAGCCTTCCCAGAAATGTGCTGTCCCAATTCTTGTGTGGGGCAAGGTGTGTGTGGGGGGGCTCACAGACTAGAAGCACATCCAGGAAACCCCCGGGAGCTGACAGACTGAGGACAGTAAGCTGGACCACAAGCTTGGTGCTTGCTGCTTGAGCCTGGGGTTTACCGAAAGAGCCAGTGAATGAATGACCTTCCCTTCTAAATTCCTGTTCCAGAGAGCACAAATTCCTGTTCATAGAGCACACAGGCTACCTCCTATTTTAATAAAAATAATGACTGTGGGTGTGGTGGTGCACACATGTAACCTCAGCACTCTGCGGGGGTTGAGGTGGGGGACTGCAAGTTTGAGCCCAGCCTAGACAACTTTGTGGCTTAGTAAGACTGTCTCAGCAAAGGCTCCATCCCCAGTAACACACACACACACACACATGTGTATGTATCAAAATATTACAACTAAAGTTTCCAACAAGACATGATAGTTGTAGCCAGGGATTTAGCTCAGTGGTTCTGCCACCTGCATTGCAAGCACAAGGACTCAAGTTCGATCCTGGTACCAAAAAAAAAAAAAAAAAAAAAAAAAAAAAAAAAAAGAGGTAAGACATAATAGTTGCTGCATACCAAACAAGACCAAACACAAAACTTGTAAAGGAAATGATCAAAGAAAGGTGATCAAAGTCTGTTAGGGGACAAGAGAAAGATTTTATGAAGAAACCAATTTTGGTGAAAGCTATGCTTTCCATCCCTGTCCTCCTAAGGGAGTACCAGGGTGCTTGATCCCTGACCCAAGGCTCAGGGAGGGTGTTCAGCCCTCTTTGGGGAGCTGGTGTGACCCCCACAGGCATGGGGCATATCAGGCAGAGCCTGGCCGAGCGGAGACATGCAGGGGATACCCCAGAGCACTATTGGGGCAGCAACTACATGAGCATTTCTAGGGTCCAGTGGGCCCACGGGGGAGAGAGAAGCAGAGGGTCCAAAGTCACTGAGAGGTACACGTGATCAGAAAGGGCTGAAGAAGTGCTGTAAGTGCAAGTAACCTCCTGAAATAGAGATTCACGGGTGTCTCAGGTTGCAAGGGGGTCTCCTAGGAATCGTCAAAATGCCCACTGGGGAAAGAATAAGCTTTAGGTTTCTGCCACTTTGTGATGGCAGGCATTGGAGAAGAACTTTGTTATCTCTTCCCCACCTGTGCCCCACAAGGGGCCAGAAGGGACTCCGCACCTCACTTTATTCTAGAGGGCCTGCCCCGCCTGAAACCAGCCCCGGGGATATGAGGACAAGATGCAAGGAGGCTAAAGCAAGGTTGGAGTTTTGAGTCTAAGTAGTTTCTGAAGTAGGAGTGGGTTTCTCCGTGACCACTGGACAATTACCTGAGGGCAAAGGGAATAAATGGTGGTTTGCTGAGTTTCTTTTCATGCTAGGAGAACAGCCTCTCCCTCTACACATGCTGTGAGGTGACTGTGGAGCCATGATTTTGCTAAGTCCTGTGCAGTGTGCTTGTTTGATGTCATGGGTCATAGCCCTGTCACCTTCTACCCGGCTGACAGCAGTCTGGGAGCACAGCCTGTCTCAGAGGTGCCCATGCCCTGTGACGAGGCTTGCAACACTCCTGCTCTTACAAATCAGGATCCAGGGTACATGAAGGGCCCCAATTTTGGGAGGGGAAGGGGCCAGCCAGGTACACAGGCTTGGGAGGCCACAAGGCGTACCCCTGTGCACTCAGGTCATCACACTGCCCAGAGGAACTGAGAGAGACGTCTTCACTTATTCTGAGCCACTTCCCTCGTCCCATGGGCCCCTGGGACAAACCACCTCCATGCTAGGGAAACAGAAAGCAGCTAAGCAAAGAGCCCTTCCCCATAGTTGTGGCTGAGACTCCTCATACTAAAGACCCACAAAGACCTAGCCCTAGACCGTTAAATCCCACCCTTAAGCCAGACAAGCAGCCTTAAGGCCCTCCCCTCCCTGGCAGAGCCTCTGTGTCTTGCATGGACCAGCCTGGCCCTCTCTCAGGCTGAGCCAGCCAGCCCAGCAGCCCCCTTGCCCTGAAGGGCTCTCCCTGCTGGTTCACAAGAATCTCTGACCTGTCACTGTGTTTTCCGGGTCCAGGAGGACCAGATGTGGTGTGATCCCCACAGGCATGGGGCTAGCAGGCTCTAGACAAGGAAGGAGCAGGGTGCAGGGCAAAGCAACGCCTTCCCCTTCCCCTCCAGACAGGCTGGTGGGAGTCAGCACCAGGCCTAGCCGACAAGGGGAAGCAGAAGTCATCCAGCCCTTCCCAGACCCCTAGGGCAGCAGCCTCCAGCTCTCACTTAGGTCCAGGGGCCTTTTGGGGCTCTCACTGCTTGCAGCACTCAGGTAAGAGTAGGATATCCCGGGGACAAGCCCCCTGCTGGAGCAAAAGGAGAGTATCTGTGCTGGAAGGGGACCGGTCTCACCTCTAGGGTGCACTTTCCTTCCACCAAAGCTGAGCCAGGAGCAAAATCCCTGCTCTTCTGCAGCCAAGGGGTGGGGAGGACAGATGTAGATTCAAAGAAACTATCTCCTTGGATCGGCCCAGGCAGCCCACCTCTGCCTCACTCCTAAACACACAGTTTGGCCATTGCAGCCAGGGATACACCTCATCCCCAGGCTTGTTTATCCAGACAAGTGCCAGCTGCCTGGCCAAGCCATGCAGGCGCCTGGACCCTGGGAGACATAAACCAACCCTCAGTCCCTACCACCCGGCTCCCAGCAGCCAGAGGGCCCTGCCTACTCACATCGTCCCATTTAATGAAGCGCTCTCCCTGGCTCAGATAGGCCTTCACCTCAGGGGGCTGCAGGACAGGGTTGAGCAGAGACATGGTGCCAACGGTCCCTCTTCAGAGAAGCTGGGCAGTCCCAGGCTGGCAGGAGGAGGGAAGGAAGAAAGCTTACAGGAGTGGGAGCCAGGCTGGGCTCACAGGGCGCTCCTCCAGAGCTGGTGCGGAAGTCCGGGTGCTCTTATAACTCACGGGGTAGCAGTGGCTGGGTGCAGGGCTCAGAGCTCTGGCCTGAGGCCCATCTGCCTTGTAAATCAGCTCCTCCTGCCCTGCTTGCAGCCCCCACTCCTGCTAGGGCACCAGCTCCCCTCTTGGAACCCCGCCCTCCCCCTGGGCCTCAGCACTTCCTGCTCAGGCTTCCTTCTCTGCTTGACCCACAGCTGAGAGGCTGGTTGAGGTCTGGGTGCCTTGGAGCCGGGTGCTCTGGGGTCCCAGGGAGCCCAAGACAGACAATCTGGGGACCTAGAGGGATGCTGTTGGTGGGCTCAGACTGAGGACGGATAAAAGGATCTCACAGAGGAAGGAAGTCCTTGCAGGTGGGCTCCAGAGCAGGAATTCTGTCCCCAGAAGGTGGGACCACCCCAGGGGTGGGAGTATGGGATGAAGATAGGGACTGAGTGTTTTGAATAAGCAAAATTAGCAGAACACCCAGCTCTTCTTTCTCAATGCTTCCTTCCCATGGAAATGAAGGTCAGGTGAGGCAACCATGCCTCTGGGCCTTGCTAGGCCTGGACCTTCTCTCACCCAGTCCCCTCTGCTGCCTGCCTCCACTGAGCATCCTCCCAGGCACACTCTCTGTGCTCCACACTCCGCTCCAGGAGGCTGCTCCAGATGCTGCAGTCCCCACTGGTACACAACCCTCACACTGCCTCTGTCCCCAGGAGTTCAGTCCCAGCCCTGCTCAGCCCCAGCCCGCTTCCTCTTACCTAACCTACTCCTCTTATCACCCTGCTTAGCCCAGTGGGGGAGGCAGGGAGCTCTACCCATGACTTCCCTCCCCTCTCAGGGCCTGGCTTTTGGTCCCAGGTCCCAGGAGGGACCTCTGTGCCACTCCCTGACAACCGTGAGACTCTCACCCTGCCCTGGAACTGCCTCTGAAGATCAGGGAGCAGCAGAACAGGGGGAACAGAGCGAGGAAGGCACTTCAAGGAGAATAAAGAAGTTGTAAACGGTCCCCAGCAAGCTGTGGGTCTGATGGCACATACTCTCGGGTAGTTGAGGAAGGAGGATCACAAGTTCAAATCCTGCCTGGGTAATTTAGCAAGGCACTGTCTGGAAAAATGAAAAGAGGTGGAGTGGGTGGGGGTCTCCACAGAGGAGAGGTGGAGGCGGCCAAGGCAGCAGAAGAGTGTGGAGGGTAGTGGGATGGGGGTCCTGGGGCAGTGCTGAAACTCCGGGTGGGCGTTCATGGCGCTGCTGCACTGACAGCTCCAGGAACAGCCTGCCTTCTGCCCTCACCACCTCTGAATAGCTGGTCCTTCCCTGGGGAGCTGGTTACTCAGAGGCCCCTGAGCCATGCCCAACACAGCCGCCCCAGAAGAGCCTGAAAGCTTTACTAAACTGCCTGGAGCGAATTTTCAAAGGGTGTTTTCCTTCCATATCTGTCCCTGCTGCTGAAGAAGAAGTCACTTCCCCTAAACACTTGCTGGAGACAAGCACGCTGCCAATAAAAATGAGAGGCCTTAGCCTCTCAGTGAAGAACTGCTGGATGTGGGGACCCAACTACAGGATATCCATGATGCACATGGCTTGAGATACCAGTGGGGTGGCTCCCACAGCAACAAGAAGATTTGTGTTCCTTAGGAATAGACACTCGAAATAGTCTCTTCCCGGGCAATGAAAAGCAGCCTATTACAGTGCCCATGTATGCCTCAGGACTGGGTATGTTAGAGCCCACCAAGGAACCATTGAAGCCACTATCTGCTGCTGAAAAAATTACTTCCATTGGTCAGACAACCACCCTGACAGCAGAGATGAACACATGCACATCTGGTCAGTTCCAGGGGTCTCTACCACCCATCCAGTTTGACTGGAGTAGCAGTGGCCTTACTAACCCTTTAGATGGTATGGATTCAGAGTTGTATGAGTTAACAACCTCGACACTGGAAATCTCCACCTCAAGCCTCAGAGTGACTGGATGCATTTGCGAGACTCATGTCCACAGTAGAGAAGACAAGCACATCTACCAGGAAACCAAAAAGAGAAGAACCCTTGAGTGGAGAAGCTGTCAAGGTGATCACCAGCCTTCCTGACTTGACATTCATTAGCTCAGTGTGATGGCCCTGGGTCAATCTCCACTACCAAAAAATAAAAAGTACTAAGGGGATGGGTGTGGTGGTGCACACCTGTAATCTCAGCAACACTCAGGAGGCTGAGACAGGAGGATTGCTGTAAATTTGAGGCCAGCCTGAGCTATACAGCAAGACCCTGTCTCAAAAAAAAACAAACAAACAAAATGCTAGGGGATTCCCAACCCAGAAATAATCCCCAGAAAAGCAGCAAATCTAAGATCAGAAGGATGGATAGAGCACGGAGTTATGATGGAAACAGCTCAGAAACTCTGGAGTGACAGGTGCTCTGACTCTCCCTCCAGGTCTTTCCTCTCTCTGCCCTCCTGGGTTGGGCCCTCCTGGTGGCCCTAAAGTTCTGGCACTCCTTAGGACCAAAGTGTCTCTCTGTTTGAATGAATTTTGCAAGGGAAATCTCTGTGCCTTCCCAAAGCTCCTGCACCTGTCACCTGCAGTGATGTGGTTCTGCCACCCCACCCAGTCCTTCCCTTCCATCACTGGACCTGAGCAGCCTCTTCCTCTGCTGCTTGGGGAGGAGGGAAGGCTCTTCCACACCTTTCAAGGGTTTCAGCACTCTCGCTCTGTCCTGTCCATCTCAGCCCCCCCCCGTTCACAAACAAAGCCTTACCCAATGAGTGAAAGATGGTCTCACCACCTTGTGACACCAACTGCCACTTTGGGGGGAGGGGATTTGTGCTCTCCTGTCCATATATGACCTCCTGTAAAGCCAGCCCTGCAATGTGAATTCGGGAACCCTGGCAGAGCCAGCTGGAAGGACCTTTCTCCAACAGGGCTTTTTCTTTTGCAATATACATTTAGGTTGAGGCATGGTGGTGCACCCCTGTAGCACCTGAGAGGCTGAGGCAGAAGAATCATTTGAATCCAGGAGTTCAAGACCAGCCTGGGCAGTATAGCAAGATCCTCCCTCCAACACAAAATAAAACAGAACAAATCACCTGGGGGAGTAGGGGGATTAGGTTTTTTTAATGTGTGAGTGACAAAGAAAAATGTTATATAAATAACAGTACAGTGGATATGGAGAAAATCAAGGAAATCACTGGATACCCAGTTTGGGAAACTGGCCTTGGGCTCCTGGGCTGAGCTGGGCAGGTGGCAGAACAAGCAACAGGCCAATTGGCCCCCCCAGGGTGGGAAGTGAAAGGGCAAGGATGCCCCCTGCTGGTGCACTAGAAAGCAAAGCCTCCTGGGGAAAGGGAACAGAGCCAGGGAAAACCAACTCTCCTGGAGACCTTGGTTGGATTGGTGTCATCTGTGATCTGTAGGGACCCTATGCTGCAGTTTTGCATGTGAGAGCCTTGGGCCACCGAAGGTGTTAGGAGCTTGTATTCAACTGCTACCTGCCGGGGACACAGGCCTCAGGGATGCAGTGCTTTCTTTTCCCAACTTGTTCATCAAATTTCAGGGGTGGGAGTTGGACTCCTACCATTAGCCAAGCGAAGGAGTCACATTAGGTAGGATGCCATGACTGCCCCACTGAAGCAGTGGTTTAGAGGTCCAGGTCTGCTGTGCTTCTTGAGCCCTGGGTCAGCTGATTCTACGGATAGATAAGGTTCAGACTCTGCATCTGTGGTCTGTTTCCCAGTCTGGCACAAGGAGCCACCCACACCACTGTCTAAACCCAGCGACTGACCAGCTGGTTTGTCTTGTGACGCTCAATCTTCCTGCACCTCATCTTTCTTACCTGTAAAATAGGGATACTAATGACTTACAAGTCTGTTGTAAAGACTAAATAATGTAATAACTCAAAAGCACGTAATGTAGTAACTGCACATTATTGTTAGTATTTTGAGTATTTATTTATATACTTTTTTTTCCCTGGTACTAGGCAGAGAATACAGGGCCTTCCCACTGAGCCACATTCCAGCCCCTTTTCAAGTTTATTTTGAAATAAGTCTCATAAGATTGCTAAATTGCTGAGGCTAGACTCAAACTTGTGATCCTCCTGTCTCAGCTTCCTAGAGTGCTGGGATTACAGGCATGTGGTGTCACATGCCTGGTTTGTTTGTTTGTTTTTGGTACTGAGGATCAAACTCAGGACCTTGCGCTTTCGAGGCAGGCAGCGGCACCACTGAGCTAAATCCCTGGCCATATTTATTTATTTATATACTTACTAACAGACATTGACAGGAGATAGGCATTTTCTTATTATTCCTCAGTGCAGCTAGCTGTCCTGGTCTGTTGATTCTGCATCTGCGGATCCAACTAACCACAGATTAAACCAAGTATTGGGGGGTCGAACTGCACCCTGAAGATGTGAAGACTTGTTTTCCTCACCACTATTTCATGAACAGCCCAGGATAACAACTCTTCACATGGCATCTATGTTGTGTCTGGTATTACAGGTAAATCTGGTATGATTTAGGTATATGGGAGCATGTGCTAGGTGATCCGCAAACACCACACCCTTTTACCTAAGGGACTTGAAGCCTATGGGCAAAGTCCAGGAGGACAAACTCCTCGATTTTCTTTTTCTTTCAGTACCAGGAATCAAGCTCAAGATCTGGCTCTTGTGATGCAGGCACGGTGCCACTGAGCTAACAGCAACCAGCCAGTGAGGACAGAAGAGGTTGGGAGACAGACTCAGGACCAAAAGCATCCTGACTTGCTAGAGCAACAGCCCAGACCAACTAAGGTGAAATGAAAGGGCTTCAGAGATCTGGGCTTGACTCCAAGGCACATGGACTGTGCAGGACAGAGGGAGGAAGTGGCGGCTTTAGCAGAAATGTGTGAATAAAACTGAGGGTTTTCTCTGACAGCCAGCTCCATCTGAGCCACATGGCAGAGCTGCTAATAAAAGCAGATGCCTAGGCTGCTGAAGATGCTCTTTACTTTCATCTTACACCTCTGTGGCCCCAGGTAGTTTACCTGGTGAGGTGACTAATCACCTAATACCCACACCCTTTCAGATTTTGATGCTGAGTCTACTTTCCATCAAAATTAGACAGGGGGTACCAAGAGGCACCCAAGTAGATACCCTGGGTGCCAGACATAGTCTTTCCTTGCCCC